TTGTATAGAAGTAGAAAATCCCCTTTTGGGAAATCATATACATACTGTTTGGATATACAATTTACCAACTTATCCTTCGTTGGAACTCCAAATTCAAATGCAGGATGATAGGGGTCCTCTGCAACTAGTGGCTGCACAGACCTAGTGATTTGCGGTATCTCCATGTTCGTCAAAACCAGGTCCAGGCACCTGTCCCTAAAATTTTTAATGTTATTCAACTGTCTCAAATTATTGAGATTAAGGAACTCAGTAAGCAAGGTGTTTTTATCATTATCACATATTTCAAAAAAAGGGAGGTTAAAATCACCCAATATCAATACTCCTGTCCGCTCGTCATCTAAAAGACATTCAAATTGATTAAAAAAACTATTATAGACTTCCAAACTAGAGTTTGGTTGGAAATATACAACAGAGACAATAATTTTCAACTTCAACCTTACAAGAATACATTCAACATTACTATCAATAATTTCATAAGGGAATCTTCTGTCGAAAGCGATCAAAACGCCTCCACCTCTAGCAGCAGTACTTCTATCTCTTCTTAGCACCGTGTACCTCTCATCAATCAGCTCTTGAGTGAAAATTCCATCACATAGCCAAGTCTCAGTCAGTGTCACTATATCGGGATCCATTGTCAACAGGTTGGTATAAAAAGCTTCAGTCTTAGTCCTTAGACCACGCACATTTTGGTAGTAGACCTGACAATGGTTACTTGAAACATAAGTGGAAGTGGGATTTTTTGATTGCGAAACAGTTTTATTTATACTTATATTTATATTTGATTTAGTTTTCATTTTCTCTGAGGAACTGTCTCCTCTGTTTGTGACAGGTTCCTCCTCTTGGCAAAAAACCGAAGATACGAGGGCACCATTTGGCCATATCTCTCTTTTCCACGCATTGCGGAAGTTATTTTGCCTGAGAGTAACTTTCATAGAGGAATATAGAGTGGGATGTTTGGATGGATGTTGCTCACAAATTACCTCGGGAAAAACATATTTCTCAGGTCTTCAGGCTTTGTGCTTGGGTCAAGCCTAGTTACGTGTAGTGAGACAGATTTTGGGACCCCTTGTATTTCTGTCTCATTATCGCCCACCACATATCTTCGGCGCTTTCGTCTTTGCACCTGCCAATGGTCATCGTCCTCATTTTTCGTGTATAATTTTTGAATATTTTGCATTGCATTGCGAGTTTCAACTTCCATCAATGCCGTGTTTAGGGTTTTCGAGTTGATAATTTCGATTCTTTGTTTGTTTTTGTTTTTATTAATATCATTGGTATTGACCTCTATGGAATTGACAGCCGCCTCAGCTGATTGAGTTGTCCAACTTGGCAGTGTTGCCTGTTGTTGTGCGGTCGAATTACCATCCCTGGTTGCCACATTTGGTTTATTTCTTATTTGCGTTGGCCATTGCTTTGGAGGTTTAGCGGTGTTGCTAAATATTGCTGGCCCTTGTCGAGCATCCCCAATGACGTCATCTTTGTTTTGAGAGGTCATGGAAGCAAGAAGCAATGTTTATGTTTTCCTCACTTATTCCTTCAAAGGTTGAGCTCCTCAACTCTGTTTCAAGAGCCCTGTCGTCGCTTTTCGCTTCCACAGGTGGGGTGGTTGCAGGAGAAACCATACTTTCAAGTGAGAAGATTTTTCCTTGGAGTTCATTTTTAAGTTCAAGATACTTCACTTTTTCATCCTCGTACACTTCTATTTGCGATTTTAGGTTCAGAATTTCGTCTTCTTTGGCGGAAATAGCTTCATTCACAACTTTGTTTACCTCCGTACGACCTTGGCACATGTCGCACAGTTAATTAGATTTTTACTTCCACTAGTGACTACTAGCCCCGAGATTCTTAGGGCACATGATTGGTGGTAGTAAACATTACATAAATTGCACTTCAAAAAACTTTTTTCAACACCGGATTTGCAGTACTTGCATTTTTTCCCGTCCGTATCTAAAACATCACCACCCGCAGGCGCCATGTTTAATTCGACTTGAATATAAGAATTTTAGGTGCCCTAAGGTTTTTTGCCCAGGGCTCATATCAGAAGGCAGGCGGAAATGAAATGCATGTGTCCTTATCACAACCTGCTTTTAGCCGAGCGTTATCTGAGGTGTCTTTGGCTCTAGAGGCTATTGCCCATAGGTGGGTAAAATTTTCCTTGAATGAAGCCCAAAAGCAAGAAAAAAAAAAAAGAGTTCATGGCCCAGTTTGGATTTCCAGGGGTGATAGGCTGCATCGATGGCACTCATATTGCCATTGTTGCACCACGAGAAGATGAAAACTTATATTTCAATAGAAAACAATATCATTCCAAAAATGTACAATTGATATGTGACGCGAATCTATTGATACTAAATGTTAAAACCAATTATGGTGGTGCAACTCACGATGCCTTTATTTGGAGAAATTCCAATGTAAGGACACATTTGGAACAAATGTATAATCAGGGTGATCATAATTCGTGGCTTCTTGGAGATAGTGGATATCCACAAGAGCCATGGCTCATGACGCCTATCCAAAGTGTACCCAGAGATGCTCCTGAAGGTAGATATATGGCAGCTTTGACAAGTGTCAGAAATTGTGTGGAAAGATGTATAGGTATTTTATAAAAAATGTTAAGTATTATATATTTTTGCACTAAATTTATTTGTTTCAGGAGTTTTTAAAAACCGATTTCGCTGTCTATTGAAAGACAGGGTGTTTTACACAATATGTGTGTTAGGGCTAATCTAGCCATCGAAGATGATGAAGAGGAGCAACGTGATGACGACGAAGATGTTGCGGATGTAGGAGTTGGTATTGCAAGAAATGTGCTTGTACAAGGGCAGGCGAGAAGAGCTAATATAATACAATTGTATTTCCAAAATATTTAATCGAACACATCAATAAAATAAATGAAAAAACAAAACAAAATTATTATTAAACAACATTTAACTGATATATGCAAAAAAGGAAACGAAAATATACTACCTATTGGAAAAAAAACTTAAACAACAAATCTGTAAAGAAAACTTTCTAATCAGCCTCACATGTAGCTCGAGCAGCTCTTACTTCTAAACTATTCCCTAGGAAAAAAAAATCCACAAGACACCACTTTTAAGAGCTTGGCTTTTATTTAATTTTAAAATATCCTGGTAAAGTGACTTTTTCCATTTGCAATAATTATAGATAAACAAATTAAGTGTGCACAAAAAATTTATATTGTAAATGGAAATAAACACTTTACGAGGGTTATTAATAATTCATTAAAAATAAATGGGTTTTTAAAAGTGGCCCTTATTTCGTTTTAACTAGTATATTTATGACTTGATATTATTTTGAGTTCTGTAGCAAGCAGAAAGGTCTTTCAAAGCTTGCGCTATTGCCTCTTGGGCTTCGGCCTGTCTCTTGATCATTTCTCTTAGTTTCCTTCTTTCTGCCATTGCCTCTTCACGCATTTTTGCCATGGAAACCACTTTCCCAGGCTTTTCAGCAGACTTCCGACTGCGTTTCCTGGCTGGTCCACTGGATGATGTTAATGGTGGAGAAGACTTGGGCAAATGGGCAGCTCTGTCTGTTTCTATGCTGGAAGGGTGTGTTTTTGGTGGTGATAGGCGATTAAATGGTTTCAATGGTGGAGGAGAATGAGGAGATTTGGGCAAACAGGTAGCTCCTTCTGTTCCGGTGCTGTTGGAAGGATGTGCCTTGGGGGGTGGTAAGCCATTCTCTTCATCTGTCAAGTGTTGTGCTGTTTTTTTGATAATTTTGTAAATACTTATCTTTATTGCAATTCTACACACAATTATCCAATTCGAATATAATCTTATTTGCACTAATCGATATCAACCCTTTTTTTAGTGTTATAGTTGTAATTACCATTCCTAATTTTGCATTTCCATTCCCAGTTACTGATTTCCAACCCATTAAATTCATTAACCGTTCCTCTGTTTCTGTTAAAGGAACGGCGTTTGATGGGCCACCACCAGTTTTCTGTGCCTCGATCCTTAATTGGGCAGCTTTCGATTTTGTTTTTGACTTCCATCGGCCGATTGCCTACAACAATATTTGAAATTATTAACTTATAGAGTGACATTATACATTAAAAGGTATATGAGTCACATAAAAAGATACCATTTTCCATTTGTCAACGCTTCTCAGCTCAAATCCCGTGGAATTTAATTTTTCGACCAATTCCTCCCACAATTTTGCATTCTGCCTAACATCACCATCCATATGTTTAAATTGGGGCCTGAAAATTGTTGGATGTTCCTCTCCAAAATTGACGATGGTGTTCCATTGTTGAGGATGAGTTTTGAAATCACGTTTATCATCTGCATTGCGTACATGAAAATTTGAGTAATTGTGCCAAAGCCTTGGAATTGATTTTAGATATAACTTACCCATGATATTTCGTTGATTTTTAATACGGTCACTCAACGTCCTTAAATGTATTGTTAACTTTTTGTTTGCAATTTATTCACTTGACACTTATGTCACTTATTGAAATAATTTAATCACCCAATTTGATGGTGTGTTAAAAAGAGACAGGGATAATAGAAATATCAAAGCAAGACCTAAATGGTCTTTCTATTCCTCTCTACCGAACGAACCATTCGTGAAATACGACAGGCGTCGAAGCAGCTTACAAAATAAGATAAAGTGGTAGAAAGAGTTGATAGAAAGAAATTTCCTCTCTATGACGATACAGAATACGCAGGCTGGTACCAACTTATTCGCTAGTATTATGGGCTATATGATATGAAGTGAATAAACACATTCATTATTAAGAAAATTTGTGGAAATTAAAGTCAAAGGAAAATTGAAAAAGTTGGGGTTTGTGCCTGTGTGAACCTGGGATCCCCGCATTAATTTCCACAAATTTTCTTTGTAAAACTAGTTTCAATACCTATAACCGACAAAAATTCTCTCTTTGTACATTCATTATTGTTTTTATCCTATATAATTCGAACCACTTTGGATTCTTGAAACTGAAAAATCATAATGCATTTGATATTTTCCTACAGGTTACAAAAGTTCAAAGTCCAAACCGCCAACACTGTAATAAGCGGGGAAAACAGTCAAATGGAGTCGATGGGCACCGAGCAACTGTTAGATCTGTTTTCGAATAAGCCGAATATCGATGGCAACATCAGTTCCGGTTCGGGATCCGCATCGGGTTCCAACAACGGAATGAAGGCCATTCTCGAATCGTTGCCGGAACTATGGGAGCAGAAACAGTACGAGGACGAGTATGATTTGTCACAGTTTATGTCCAGACTACAGCAGTAGAAGGTGATTTTTTTAAATTATTAGATGCTAATCAAGAAGTTGGTCATAATATAGGAAAAAAAAGATTTCAGTTGGATTCAGCTGGGCTGGGATTCTGTATGGATAAGTTATCCCTACTGTTATGGCACTTGCTTCTCTCTTCTCGAAATCAGTAGAGAGGAGACTTCAATAGAGATAGAAAAAAATATCTCCATTCATTATAGAGTCCCAGCCCTGAGTTACTTAAGCAGAGATACTTTTTGGTGAAAGTATTCCAAAAAACAAACTGAGTCCACTTTTCTAAAAAACTGATATCTGTAAGTGTAGGTAGTATCTTGATAATCTGAATTTGCTTCACGCTTTTTCAAGTTGTTGAAGAATCTTTTTGAATTTAATATTTAATACAATTTACCCGTTCTGTATTTGAATTTTATTTTCTTCTTTTTTTTTTTTTTAGGATGTTTAAAAAGAGAAAACCGAAAGCAATAAAAATATAGCAAGAAGTGACTTTTTTCGATGAATAACCAAAGACATTTTTCGATGTATAGTAATTTGTAAGCATATACTATTAGCATGACTTAAAATATTATATGTATTTACTGTTGTCATTATTTTAAGTGAATCAACTTTTACATTTTTCCATTTTCCTCACACATACAGTTTTGCGACTGCCAAAAGAATAGGACTGAAATATGTCAAAAAAAATTGCAATTTTTCGTTGTGTTATTTAGGGCCATATTCTCCGTAGTTCATAAAGATTGGCTTACTGGAAAAACTCGGCTTTGTCACACAAAAAGCCAAGTGTTTCCATTAAGCCAGGCTTTATGGACTACCCTTAATTATCAATCAAAAGTAAAACTCGATTAATTCTTTCATTTTAAATTGCAAAAGATCACAAAACTGTATTTCATTAATTTATTAACATGTTCATTTTTTTAGCTTGTAAGTGCAGAATATTTTTTGAGATAAAAATAGCTATTTATGCAACAAGTGTGTAAAGTAAATCTCATGTAATTGTCGCACGAGTCAAAATTTACATTAATGAAAAAAGGTGCTTTACACACATATTGCATAGACATTTTTTTCCACTACCAATAAAATATTTAAAAAAAAATAAATTTGGACAAATACACTTTACACACTACTCACTAGTGTGTTAAGTATTTTCATTCTACGCACTAATGCGTTTAATGAGTACTTTATGCACGGAAGTGGTTTCTATTAATCTACAAAAATATTGAAACTCCAGATTTAGTTTTTTTCGAGATACAAACACAATTTTCCTATTTGTACTTAGATTGAAACACATTTGAATGATTTTTGTGTAGTTACCGCCCAAGTAAATTTTAGTTACTATAGGTTATCTTTGTTCTTTCTATGTTAATCCTATAATTAAAATAAATTACTACAATTTTCTTTTTAAAAACATTTTATTTCACACACCTTTTATGGTTGAGAAAAGTCCCCGGACAAGTCCGATCGTACCAGGGTCCTGGAGACTTTGCTCTGTTCCAGCATCTCAGATGATTTAGGTGTGAAGAAAATACGGTAAAATTAGCAACTTTAAATTACCACTGTCATAATTCATCGCCAATAATTTTCAGGGAACAGCAATAAACCTTGGAGATGCTTCTTCTTTACGAGACGAATCTTTTTTTGTTCTAAGCAAGAGGGAAAGTGACAAGGTAGTGTTTTCAAATTTAGTAAAAATAAGCAAATAATCCTTTTCTAGAGACCAATAATTCATGAGAACCCTGTGGCTGAGCAATTTATACAACTCGTATACAACCATTTCAAGGTGTTTCATGAAGATCAAAATCCCATAACTGTAAGTTAATAACAATAAAGTTATTGTTGATTGATCATAGAAACGTTTTCGTCTTAATCTCAGTAAATGTAGGTACAAGTTTTGGAAGGGGATATTTTCGAACCGAGTGGCTTTTGTTAATTTTTAATAAATAAATTGTAATTTACTTTCTAGGAGACAGCTAAGGTTTTGAAACTAAGTGAGACCACTGTCTATAAATATAAGGATGGTTCAGTTGAGGAGTCTGAAATTACCCCTGTCACGCGGAAGCGTAAGAAGTTGCAGACAACTGATTCAAGTGGAAGCGTCAAACAGACTATTCGATTAGAGATATACAAAATGTATACAGAGAGTAAGTTGATGTTCTACTTTGAACATAGAGTTGTTTCAATGTTACTTCATATTAACATTACCAGTAGATTATTCCGAAAGAATACACCTGATAACATTGGAACTTCTCAGATCAAATTAAACTGTTTTTCATAGTTTAATACTATTTTTTATTTCAGGTCAACACAAATTAAGATGCTGCTAGGATTTCTTTCATTCCATAATTTAATTTTTTAGAATTGTTTTCTTTGCTTTTCAATAAAGGTACCTGAGTTATTGGAGTCTTTCATAAGGATAAGTATTCATATTCCCCTCTTTGACGTACCTACACAGTTTGGGTTCAGATATTTGCAGAGCTTCTGTAACTTCTACTGCATGCTTTATCCTGTGTGTTGGGTTTATTGTTTTTCAGATGTTTAGCATTTTGTGTTGTCATATTTTCTAGTGGACCTGGGTACCTCTAAACATGGTATCACTATTTAAACTTCCTATTTAATGTATCATCTAATATTATGCTTGTATAAATTATTTAGAGGGGCAATGTCCCATTTGTCGCCCACCTCTTACTGTTATTCTTCCTTTTTTATATTATTTAGCAGTTTTTGGTAAAAAACCCATTACTACACAAGTAATTGATTAATAATTAATAGTTAAATTTAATTATGCACGTCCACTTGTGTCAGTTGTCTCTTGTGTGTGATGTTTGTACCTGCGACGAAGCAGCACTGGTTATGACTTAAGGCCGGAAGCACTCGGCGGATTTTCTTAATAAATTATTACACAGAATGCATACTCCTCTCTTCTTCAATTATCACTCAAACTAGACTGGGTAATTTTAGTTCATTTTTGGGTAGTAGTCTTTTTGTTATAGGGACTGGTGTTAAATAGTAATACTAAGTTACTTTGTTCAATTACCTTTAAGAGTTACGTTATAATGGTGTCACCAGCAAATTCCATAAGAATACACTCGGTGTCATTATTGACGAAAGTCTCAAAGCTAATTGAACAAGATATACTAACTAAAATCAGTAATATTTGCTGTTGCTACAGTACTACAATATTTAAACAAGCATTTTTCGTTTTTAGAATTGCATATGTTACCCTTAAGACTGTAAGTGATAGGCTGAAAAAAAGTGAAATTTATTACGGTTCCCAGTCAAGTTTAGGCAGGGTTTTGCTCACGTTAGGATTTACCTTTAGAAAGGATGATCCAAGAAGAGCCCTCATGGAAAAGCCTGATGTAAGCCACATGAGAAGAGTTTTTGGGTAGAAATTTTAGTACTGTATAATTTTATTACTGGAAAATTTGAGTAGAAATTTTAGTACTGTATAATTTTATTAATGGAAAATTTGAGTAGAAATTTTAGTACTGTATATTATTATTGGAAAAAATTTGGGTTCATTTATTTAAAATTAAATATGTATAATATGTGTGGAAATACTGCAGTTGTTTCTGTCTTTTGCAAGTAAACCCCCTTCAGCATTTAATTCTATAGCTACCCAAGGTAATAATTAGCATCAATAAACCGCTCGCATATACCATCTAACCTTTAAAAATCAACAGAGTACTTGGGCGGCCAGCTACAGCAACAACTATTAGAAAATATTACGTTTGTTCTATTACAGATGTTTAATATTACTATGCAGGATTTTAATAACTTGACTTCCTTTAAAGAAATTAAAAATAAATCTGGAATGCATATCATTTTCCTAAATATGAAAAAATACTAGATACCTATGTCAACGCGAACTGTCAACTTCACTTTCTATCGTGATTGCGACTATACTTGGTTTTTCTGATAGTATTTTCTAAATTTTTAAAACCAAACATGTTGGAAACGGCTCCACCAAATATAGACAAACTAAAGTTCGTTTCACCAGGGCTCATACTTGACCTTGAAACTTGAAAAAAAAAAGGGTTTTCGTAGATTTATTCATATCACACATTCAATTTTTTTGACAAATTAAAATGAATGGGTACATTCAGGGGGTCCCAGCGGCTTAGCTCAGCCTCTCAGCAGGAACTTTATTCTCGAAACCAAGGAACAGCGTTCTGATTAGAACAAAGATTCTAGATACTGTCTTTGTCGTCCGGCATAACACTGACAATGACCGAGTAATCGTTCTTATGAGAACACTGATCCTTGGTTTCGAGAATAAAGTTCCTGCTGAGAGGCTAAGCTAAGCCGCTGGGACCGCCTAAATGTACCCATTGACTTCTCTTTTTGAATCAGTCAATTTTTATTTGTTAAAAAAGGAAGGCAAATGCTGGTGGCAAGTACAAACCCTGGCGAAACAAACTTTATACAGGGTGTAAATAGTAGGATCAAACTTCTATGATAAATAGTACTCATTAAAATAAGAAAAAAGTTAATACACTTTATTTTTTTCCAAGATAGAATCTGACATTGTCAACTTTGAAACATAAACAATGCCGCTTATTGGTTGAAAGATGCCATTTGCAGCAGTTGCATTGTTAAACTGATGTCAACCTGTAGGGACACCTCATTTTGCGACTAATCAGGGCCAAACGGTATTGTTTATGTTTCAAAGTTGACAATGTCAAAATCTATCTTGGGAAAAAATAAAGTATAGAAATGTAGGTCCGCAAATAATGCTCAGTTTTCGAGATACAGGGTGTCAAAGTTTGAAACAATCGATTTTTCCTGAATTTCTTTAAACTTGACAGATTTGTTTGTAATAGAATAAAAGGTATCTTTTGACTCAATTAGATTTACCGTAATTATTTCAGTGGCGCCACAGAGGGCAACTACGTTGGTACCTAAATGTTGAAAAAGAATGGCATTTCATTATTTTTTTATAACTTTGATATTTTTTTCAGATCAAGCAAGTCATATTACAGTCGAAAGATACCTTTTGTTATCACAAACAAACCTGCCAAAGGACACCTCTCATGGGTTTTTGTTTTTTTTGTCAAACTCAATGAAATTTTGATATGTGGTATATCTTGACTTACTGATAAAAAGTTCCCATGGGCCCAGGGGCGTAGCCAACAAACCAAAAAAAATAGCTAAAATAAGGCAAGTTTCCGAGTAGGTAATTAAATACTATTTTACAACTATTATAATTCAGAAAGGATAGTATTTTTATTTTATGCTAATTTAGCATGCACGGGGTAACGGAAACTCGGTGAATCACCGGCTAGATTCGGTAATTGGAATTGCATCTGCGAGCAAAGAGCAAAATGAGCAAAATTTGACAGATGTTACGTGAAAAAAGATAAGTGGTGGATAAGTGATACCGTGACGTCCGTCAAAATTCGCTTTTTTTTGCTCGCAGATGCAATTACCGAACCCAGCCGCTGAGTCGATGCTTTCGGTGACGTACAGGGTTATTGGTTATGAAGTTCACCCCCTGTCCTGTACTAAAATCGCAGCACATACAGGGTGTTAATAAATAATGGGATCAAACTTCTAGGATAAATAGTACTCATTAAAATAAGAAAAAAGTAAATAGAAACATGGGTCCGCAAATGCTTAGTTTTCAAGATACAGGGTGTCAAAATTTGAAACAAAATCGGTTTATTACATTACATACAAATCTGCCAAGTTTAAAGAAATTTGGGAAATGGATTTTAAAAAACCGATTTTTTCAAACTTTAACACCCTGTATCTCGAAAACTAAGCATTTGCGGACCTATGTTTCTATCAACTTTTTTTTTTATTTTAATGAGTACTATTTATCCTAGAAGTTTGATCCCACTATTTATTAACACCCTGTATATAAAAACAATCAGCAGGCTAATTCGAGGTCTGTATTCTTGAATGGCGGCGTGCGCAGAAGAGATGCGCGTAAGAGTTAACCTGCTGTTTGTTTTTGCATATGCTGTGGTAAAATTCTGAACAGATCTCGTGTGGTATACCCTTAGGGTATACCTTATACCTTGAAAATTGACTTTTTTGCAACTTTGCCAGGCTGTAAGGAATTTTCAATCATGGATTAAATTCAAAGTTGGTGGCAAATGATAGTTTATCGAAATCTAAGATAAGAATGTCAAATCGGTTTTGTTCTAAAGTCAAAAATTAACTGTTTAGGTTTTATAGTCTATCAAAGTTGCAAAAAAGTCCCATTTTTTTCGCCTCTAAATTGCCTTCGTGGCGCTTAGTTGGCGCCGGATCTCAGTCTCCCCCCCTACGGATAGTCATATCGCTACGGCCCATGATGGGGGCCCAACCCGATTACCCCGATACTATGAATAGTTTCCGAAATTCAGGTGGTTTAATGTCCAAGAAATGTACACATTTTATATGCATTCACATCTACCTGTCACCTATTAATAGGTCTGTCAGAGTGAATTTCATTGGTTGAAACTAGTTTTCTGACTGTTTCTTAACTGTTTTCGACCAATCAAATTCGCTCTGACGGGTTTGTGATTTTTGCAGAAACAGACCTATTATAAGGTGACAGGTACTTAGATGTGAATACATATAAAATGTGTACATTTCTTGGACATTAAAGTACCTGTAATGTATCTCAAAAACTAATCATAGGATTGGTTCGGGCCCATGAGAACTTTTTATCAGGAAGTCAAGCTCTAACACATACCAAAATTTCATTCAGTTTGACAGAAAACCAAAAACCAACCCATTAAGAGGTGTGCGGGTTCCTTTATCATAAAACTTTGAGGTTACATTCGCAGCAGCTGACAGCGAACGTATTTTTACAGTGTTGCCACGCGTAATATTTTTCGTATACCTACGAATGAACGTTCGATTATGACCCATTCCGACTCAAAAATACGAATCATTACTCGTGTGCGAAACCCAATAACCGAAATAATTCGTGTTCGAATATTTTTCACATGAACTCGAAAATTGGACCCGGTCTCCTATTTACACCTCCAGTTTCTTGGAAAAATTGAATTGCACAATTCTAATGACAGATGACAGATGATCTGGAAATGTCGAGTCTCGCTAAAATCCTATGGTATGACCAGTCTTGAGTCTTGTTGGTGTAGAACGATTATTCTGGCTTTAACAAAACCACAAATTGGTTTGGTTTTTTTGATTTTTGATAAAGAACAGCATTCTATACGAGATTATTTTTATAACAAAAAGTTATGTTGAGAGTTTCATACATCTGTCAAAACTAGTATTCCAACCAGGGGCGCAACTAGCTTGTTGGTTTTGGGGGGGCTTGAACCCCGGGTGTCTGTAAGTTGATTTAGTGACAGTATATGATGTTTTTCAAAACTTACTACAGTAGGTATGTCACAAATGCCTGAATTTGACGGAAATACTCTGCAATAAGCTTTGTTCTCCGATATAATCTACGTTATTACTATTAGTTGAAAAAAAAAAGAACAAAGTTATGAAAGACATTTTTAAGTACGAGTCTGTTCCTCATAATTAGTGCATCACCTCCTACAACTTAAACAAAAGAAAATACAAAAAAGAAGTTTAATACAAAAGTTGTAGGGTTTTATCGCAATTATGTTTTGCACATGTCAAAATGGGCAAATGACAGGTGCCAACTGTCATAATGACAGTACGAAAGATAATAAAGATAAAACCCTACAACTTTTGAATTTAACTTTTTTTTGTATTTTCTTTTGTTTAAGTTGTAGGAACCACACTACTTATAAAGAACAAAACAGACCCTGTATATATACAGTCGTGAGCATAAAAAGTGGGACGCCCAACTGACAAGTCTTGTCATTTTTCGCTATTTTGGATAAATCAGTCTTTTTTCTACAATGGATTTTTTATCAAATATGATAATCCCTGTCGTTGCCGTAGGTATAGCTGATGAGCTCGTTTTACAATAGGGTAGGGTGACCACAGGGCCGGATTAAGGGGGGGGGGGGGCTTTGGGGGCTAAAGCCCCGGGCCCCGAAATGAGGGGGGCCCCAAAACACCACCTCACGCGGAGAAGAAATCATGCATATAATTTACACCAAACAAAACCGTCGTTTTTAAAATTCGAAGCCCTTACACTTCAGGTTTGTTGACATTTCGAACATAAATTCAGGTGAAGAGAAATCGACCTGTAAGATTTGAAGAAAATTTCAAAGAATTTCAACTTTGACAGCTTATATCTCGAAAACGGGAAGGACCAAGAATCTCATTAATAAAATCAAATTGTAGATAATTTTGTCCTCTTTCGAACGAAACATGACTCGAACCGATCAGTCGAGAAATAGCGGAGCTATAAGTGAAAGAGTGGCCTCGTGTCGGGTCCCCGCAATTTTCTTTTGACCAAATTCGAGATTTCCTTTTTTATTTTTTTCTGGCCCTTAGGTGCATCGTAGCGGAATGGGTCAAATGAGGTTTTCGACATATTTTTTGCTCCTCTATCCGATAAATTTTTTTTTTTCAAAATTCGAAAGTCGAAATTTTTCGAAAAAAAATTCCAGGGTAAATGCCTTGTTTTTTTTTTTTTAAATTTTCAAAACGTCCTAACTCGAAAACGAAAAGC